AATATTTGCCACTGAACGGACCTGGCACCAGGAAATCCAATCAACCAGAACATATTGGGGTGATCTTAAACATCCCTGCAAGAGCCTACATTGTGTGTAGTTGAATTAGCTTATCTCCAAAGTTAAACAGAAAAACCTAGAAACAAATGTTCATCTTTCTCTTCTCTGCTTTCCTACAATGGTTACTTAAAGATCAACACATAGAGAACGGAACTGTGTCCCCCAGAAAATAGATTCTAATGGCACCAACACTTACAGTTAATATAGGGGCATAAAAATATGTATATATTGTTTAGCTCTCCAGTTGCGATGCACACAGGAGGCAGAGTTCCAGTCAGCTTCCTTAACACACTGTTCCTTTTTTTTTTCTACTCTCCCACCCTTCCTCCTTAGCTTGCTCCCCCTGTCCTTAGCTTTTATTCCAAATGTATTTTTAAAGAATATTTTCTGGAGAATAGAAACCTGTCACAGTGGTCTGGCATTTGCGGATTCCACCTTCCTAGTCCAATGGCCATGTTCTTTACAGTTTGTTCACTTCTAGATTGTAGCATTTCTCTTACATTCAGTGTAGGGTTAACAGTAAACATAATGAAAAATTTCCAACTTCAGGGACATTTTCATGGTACCAATAAGCATTGTCTCACTGGTGGAGGGGTGGAGGAACCCTGTGCCTTCGAGGGGGGCAGGTTTCCCCTTCCTTCTTCCCCTTCCCAGCTCTAAAAACTCTTTGCGTTTAGAGGGTATTTCAGAAAAAGCATCCTGTGTTTGAAAATGGCAAAGAATACATTTTCCAAGAAGTGCCTGGGTTTACCCTTGTTCTCACACACTTTAGGAATCATTATACGTACTAAAAAGAAACAACTGGTCAATTAAAAATCACCATTTTCAAATAAAAGAAGTTTCCTACCCATTCTCTTTGCCCTTGAAGGGATGATAAACATTGGAAACTTGCTACATTATTTCTTAAAGGCCCACTGACGAGTTTTGAGCTTTTTAATTTTGTGACAAACCCACAGACTCCTGGTTCTCCAACCTCTAAGGTGTTGGTGTTTCAGTAATGTATGCCTATTTACCTGCTGCTATTCCCTTAGAGTGGGAGCGATAATTCAAGATGAAATACAGCATGTATTACTCTTGAAAAGAGGAATTTTCTATCCTTTTCTCCGTAATTGAGGTCATTCAACCACTAGGGTTCACCTGGAGTCCATACCGTGATACACGCGTCACTCTGAGCCATTTTATCTTTTGTGCTGATAGTCAAGATCGCAGCTCTAACATTGACATCAAACTCTGTCTGGGCAGATGACTAAGAGTGCTGCACAACGTAAACTTTTGACCCTCAACTTTTTGACCTGCAGTTGCAACTCACTAACCACAAAGATATACAAAGCTCTGCCTCTTCTTTCAGGGGAAGGGCCCCTCACAGGATCTCAGGGACGCCCTACTTCTGCCACTGCCTTCTGGCATAAGAGGGTGCATTGGATATTTTTGTGTGTTCCTGACTGTATTTCCTGTCAAATCAGCTTCCTACCTCTTTATGTCAGCACTTAAAATAGGAACGAGATTATTTTGAAATAACTCGTCATTACATTTACAAGGAAAATGTGGCATAGGATAGGGGAACCTCCCAAAAAGTGAAAGAAAAAAGAAGATGGGGAGAAAGCAGGTCATGAAAGTTGGAGACATTTTTTTTCCCTTTATTTAAAAATAAAGACGCAGCCTTAATTGTTGGGCAAGCTGGCCCAGGCAGGCGAGTTGACTGTGAACTTGTACTAAAGCGTGCTCTGCTGGCGATTCCTAGGGTGTGCAGATTTATCTTCTCTGCATTTACTTAACCTGGCAGTGAACTGCGCGGGCGTCATTTGTTAGGCGATGACAGACTTCACCTCCAGCAAGGGCTGCTTCACAAAATCGCAATAATTACCCAATAACCTTCATAACAAATATTATTATTGAAAAGACCAGTTTGTGGGGAGGGGGCCTGGTGGGAGAAGGACAGCTTTCTTTGTGAAAAACACCAAACAAAACAAACCTAGGCAGATCTTCCAGTCCTGGGGTTTGGGATGAAGAGGACTGTGGCTCCCCACTCCTACAGGGGCAGGAGCCTAGGTTGACCCCCTTAGCCCCGTCTGGAAGCCCCATGTATAGTTTCGTCATTGACTAGAAAGAAATTCTGCCTTAGAAGCCAGAGGGATGGAGCCCACACTGCTCTGCACTCTCCATGGTGGGCAAACCTCGGACAGACTCCCAAGCTAAGGCAGGGGGAGAGGCTTTGAAGGGCATCTTTTAAGTTAAAAGGATTGTTTTCCTCTGTAATAGCCCATCTTTCAGGATGTAATTTGCTCTCCCCTCACTAATTGTTTGGATATAATACTCTTCACATCTCAACAAATGAACATGACTTGTTTCTGGTAGAAAATTCTGTCTTGCTCTCCCAGAGCTGCCAACAATGAAGCAGGGGAAAGAGCAGAGAGAAAAGGAATCTTGGCATAATGTTGTGAAATTAGACCATGGAAACCCTAACAAACCCCTAAGTGAGTGTGACCAGAAGCTTCCTATTATATTTATAGTTCAGGAAATATTGTCTCTTCAGCTTGTAGAAACAAACCGGGCCCTGCACATTGCGGACACCTTCTCCTTTTACAAGATGAGGAGCACAGACAGACACCTCTGCCACCGGCTCAGGCTGGATGTCTTCATAAAGCCCTCAATGACAGAGATTTTTTTTCCCTAAGTAAGTTCCTCTGCAACAACAACCCAAAAGAACGCAGGAGGAGAAAGAACTTATCTACAAAACGAGCAGAGAACCAGCCATGCTCTTTACTACGCTTCTTATGAAAATAGGAAGCAAGGAAAAAATTCCTCTAATAATTCTCACATAGGTCTGACTGAATGCTGTTATTTTTTAAAAAGTCATTTAACTCCATGTGAGTTGGCCTACTCCTTAAACTCTCAAGTTGTATGAAGATTACAACAGACAGAAATAAGCAAGCTGACAATATTTATAGCTTCTAGTTCTCTTAAATCATGGGAAAGAGTCTCTATATTGTGTGATGCTGGCTATGGGTCCCACAGCCTTTCTGCCCATTTCCACACCCCAGGGTGGGATGTGGCCACGGAGGTAGTGTGGCTGCTTCCTCCAGGCAAGTGACTCAAGTGAACCTGCCAGCAGCCCTATCACTCTTTTTTCTGCTACTAATTTTAGTCACCAAGAAATTACTCAAGCAAGATCACCAAATGAGCCACTAAAACAAAACCTTCACTCAATACTTTCCAATAAAGAACTCAAAACTCTGAGCAGCAAAACAAAGACTCCAGGAATTCTCACAAACGCATAAAATAATAAAAGAGAACCCAAATAAGTGTTTCTACTCTGGTTCCCACTAAGATGCAGACACATTTTCTTGAGTGTTGCAGTAGCAATGCTCACTTTAACAGGTTACACACAATGACTTCAGGGATTCGCCTTGCCACTCATTATTCAAGAGATGTGGGACTGGTGGGAGGGTTTCGATTTTTCCAAAACTTCCCAGGTTTTGCTTTTTGGACCTCTGACTTTGGGGACATCTGTTAGACTTATTTTGAGTGTAAGTGGCCTCTGCACAATAAAGTTTGTTGAAATTTCAAATTAATACTTTAAAGTTTTTCACTTTAAGCAGCTAGTATATATGTTTACCAGTTAGCACTTGCAGAAAACTACCCAGTTCCTAAGGAGAAACACATTTGGAGACCCAAGGTCCCATTTTTTGTTTCATTTCTGTGTTGAAGAATTTGGCTTAATTCCTCAGATGGGATAGGGGGAAATCTGGTAGGTCTCTTGTGGGTGCCCATCCAGAGAAAGACCCCAGGAAAGGCTACAGCGTCCCCAGCCACAGCTTTGCCACTGAAGAATGTGGGGGGTTGGGGCCAGAGGGGGTGACTGAGGCCAAGCTGGAATTGCACCCAGGAAAAATTTATTTCACCTTACTTCACCCGTTGGTGCAATATTGGGGACTGTTTTGGAAATCATAGATTATGTAAATTTCCTGGGATCAAACAGTAAGAGCAGCTAACAAAAGAAAGGCGGAAATCTCCTAATGACAAACGACCGATTTCTTCCCTAAACTACCCTTTATGACGTGTCAGGGAAAACAATCTAATGGCTCTGGGGACTTTTAAGTTGGGCATTGAAGACACCTCCATTTCCCCCCAAACTTTAGGGCACAGTTTGGAAGAATTTCCCCTGCATGTTAAGGGAAAGTGAATTTCTCTCATCTTTAGTGTTATCTAGGGGGACGCCTGTTTTGCCTTTTGAGGGTCCTATAGGTAGATAGTTTAGTTCTACAAAGGAGGAGAGGAAAAGGAAAGAAGAGAGGGAGAAGAAAGGCAAGGCGGAAGAAAAGAAAGCGCTTTAACTCCTTTCATTTAGCCTGGGGATTCAAACACTAAAGTTAAATCCGGCCATAAAGTTTATTGCTTCAGACTCACAGGCGGGTGAGAACAGTGCCATCGAAATAAAACGAACGTGCAGGCCTGCAAGGTTCAGGGCCTGGTCCCGGGTGCGGGGGAGGGGGTGGTGAACCATACCCCCAGGTGGGGACCCGAAGTCCCCCAGCGTCCAGTGGGCGCTAGCGTCCTGGCCTCGGCCTGGCAACCGAGGGGCCCAGCCTGGAGGTGCGGCCCGCTCCTCGCCGTCCTCTGACACCCTCCAGATCTCCCCAGCCAGCCTAAAACCCTGCCCCGAAGGCAGCCGCCTCAATTCAGTGCTGCCAAAAGACCCAGGCCCGCGAAGACATATTGCCACAGCCCCGTAAGGAATCCCGCCAGAGTCCGCCTCGGCCCTGCCCGGGCCTTTCTTTCAAACTCCAAGCACTCCCAAGCGCAGCACGGCCCTCGGCGCCCGCGGCCCCGCGCCCCACTGTCGCCCAGCCCCCACCCCAGGGCTCCGCGACCCCCCGAAGACCCGGGACCCGCCAGCCCAGGAATGGGGGGCCGGCCCTGCCAAGTCTCCACACACTGGCTCATTCGCACACAAAAATCGTCTATTTGCACGCCGGCGAGAGCAGCGGAAGTCATTAACATCCGCGGTGGTGCAACAATTAAAGTTAGGCCCGGGGATGCAGCCCGGCTACAGGCGCTGCTCACCGTGGTGGCTCCGCAGACAAGGCTCCTAGCTCTGATCAGGGAAGCAGAGGAAAAGTTTGCTCTCCCCTTTTGAATTCAGAGGCAACCTCAGAGTTATTGAGCCAGAGAAATAGAAAAAGCAAGATCAAGGAAGAAAGTTTCCAGAGTACAAATAAACTTGAAAGCGCTCAGGAGGCGAACTTACCTTAACTCGAAGGGAGCCATTTTTCAGAGAGTTTTGAGAACTTGTGGTTTGGACACTTCTGGACCTAAAATTGACAATTTGAATGACCAGGCAGCACACGTAGCCTGCAAAAGAGTCAAATGGAGTCCAGCGTCAGTGAGATTATATGTTATGTGGTATATAATGTTGGATGTCAACTCCCCAAAACCATAAAACTTACTTTAATGGCCCCACGTGACGTTTTATAGCCAGTGAGCCGATCTGTCTGTGCTATGGATGATTTTACGATCTAATTCATAGACAAAACCCTATTCATTTGGCACCCAAATGTCATATAGCCGGAACTGGGGCTTATAAAGTTTACTGTTTTATAACTTTTAAAAGGAAAGACGGCATCAGTGTAAGCAGTCGGTAAATGTGCAAATCTCTAGTTGCGCTTTAGCTGCTCTGAGGAGTTTTCCCAATCGAGCTAAGATGGGGTAAGTACCTTCCATTTGTAGCAAATTAATTGTGGCAAAAGAAGCCAACTGGGTTTAGGGTGAGGAGTGGGAAGGGGTGTCTGTGTCGGTTGGGGAAGGTTTGGGGACCACAACTTGGCATAGCAGCCTCTTCAAGTGGAGGCCCAGGATGGTCTTAGGAAAGAGGCAGCATCTATGTGGGCCCAGAGGGCCACTAACAAAGCCCTAGGCTTTTCTTCCTTTCGCTCTCTTCCTCTTTTATTTTTATTTTTTGTACCCAGCAAGTTAACTTGGTTTCCTCAGGGATGGGCAGGTTGGACTCAGGCTTTGGAACCACCTACAGCTTTTCCACCTTCTGCCCTGAACTTTCTGATGGGTCAGAGGTAGTTAAGGAGGCGGTGGGTCAGAGTGTTGGTCTGAGGTCTCCTTGCACAGGCAGGCTGCTCAGGTGGCCTCAGACTCACCCACTCTCAGAACTGGACAGACAGACAGAAGAGCAGAAAGAGCAGCGCACTATTGGGCACAAACCAGACCAAGAGAACTTACAATAGAAAGTTTATTTTTTGTTTCCAGTCAGTATTTTTTTTCCTTAAAAACAAATACAAAAAAAAAAAAAGCTGATCACAGTTTGCTTAAACAGCCAGACTTGGACAATATTTGTAACTTTGTTCACAAAAACATACATCACTGAAGCTGCGCTTATAAGAGCCACTTCCAGAGTTCGTGCAAAGGGTCCTACAAAGGCACGCAGGGACACACCGCTCGGAGTCACAGTTTTCGTCACAGAGTCACTAGTCACTACACGTCAAACAAGTTAAGTTGTGTCTCATCAAGTCACCTCTACAACAGCATTAATTACACAAGAAATATAGGTAGTTTGAATAAAAATATCTTTAACAGCTTGGAGCTATTGAGACAGGAACACTTCCACTCACATGCAGTTAAACAACTGGAGTGCAACACACAACATTGGCACTAAACGAGGTCGAAGGGGGACTTTTTTGTGTGTTTTTTTTTCTCTTTTCTTTTTTGTTATAGTTACTTCAAGTAACACAGCTTGCTTCATATAAATAAGTTAAAACATCTATTTTTTTTCAAGACAAAGCCATTCAGGACAAAGAGATGAACAGAAAGCAGAACTACTTATACAGGCGCTATAATGGCAATAAACAGGCTCATGATTAAAAGATGAATTAGGGCAACGAGAACAGGGCTTCTTCACAGAAGGAACACAAGGGAGTTTCAGAAAGTCACCTTAGTACTGACACTACGCGGGATCCGCTAATACTGCTCAGTACTTTAAACGCTCAAATACTCAGGGGCGGAAGGCCCCTCCCGCCGCCGCCATGCTCATGCTTTTCAGCTTATTATCTTTTTTCCACTTCATTCTCCGGTTTTGGAACCAGATTTTAATTTGTCTCTCGGAGAGGCAAAGAGCATGTGCTATTTCAATCCTTCTTCGGCGGGTCAGGTAGCGGTTGAAGTGGAATTCCTTCTCCAGCTCCAGGGTCTGGTAGCGCGTGTAGGCCGTCCGGGCCCTTTTGCCTTCCGGGCCACCTATGTTGTCTGCAACAGAAAAGTCAGCGGTTTAGCCACCAACTCCTCAACCCCTGATTACCAAAAGTCTGCCAGCTGGACGAGCCAGGGTCCTGAACAGGGAACAGGGGAGAAAAGCTCAACAAGTCCTCCCTCCTCGCCTTCCCACCCCTCCCGAATTTCCTTCCCTCTTCCTTTCTAGAAAGAAAACAATACGATTTGGACTCTGGGAACAATCGGCCCATCCGAGGCTGGAGCCGCGTCCCGGAGGATCGCCTGGCTTTCCCCTCACCCTTCTCCTGCCCTCTGGCCCTGCCCTAGGCGCCCTGAGGCGGGGGCACAGCCCCCCCGAGGCTGCCTACCGCTCAGAAACCCACCAAAGCAAGGCCCTTTTCTGAGCGTCCAAGTGGCCTCCAGGTCACCCTCCCTTAAAGTTCCAACCCTGCAAGCCGCCTCCTGTTCCAGCCTGCACGCTTGGGGCGCCTGCTTTCTTTTTCTTCCCTTTCCTTTCCTGCTTTCCCTCCTGCCCCCAAACTTCAGAATCCCGCCGGCTCTCGCCTGGATTATTCCCCCCCAAGCCCCTTTTTGGGGACTCTAATTAGTAACGCTGTTTCCCCAGCGTAGTCCTCATAAATTATCAGCCCTGACAAGCCCGATTCACGGCCCCTACTGCCATCCTGTACCTCTTCTGCGCCCTGCTCGGCTGGCCTGACCCGGGAGCGCGTTCCGAGGCGCTGGGGTTCGACATGTTCTTTTTCCTTTCCCCCCTTTCAACGTCTAAACTTGCCTGGCAATCGGCCCTCTCCCCTCACCTCCACTTGCGAGCTCTGGGCGCTGCAGAGAAGAGAAGGAGGAAGGAGGAAGGAGGAAGGAGGAAGGCAGGGAAGGAGACCGGCGGGGAGAGGCTCCAGAGGGCTGGAAGAGGCGAGACCAGGAGAGAGACGGGGAGAGAGGGCGGTAAAGGAGAGAGGGGGACCGAGTGCTGCGTCCCCGCGGCCGCGTGGATTTAGGAAAAGGCTGGCTTTACCATGACTTATGTGCAGCTTGCGCATCCAGGGGTAGATCTGGGGTTGGGCAGGCGGCGCCGGGCTCGGCTCGCTCTGCGCGCTCGCCTGCTCGCTGCTGGCGGGGGCGTCCTCCTCGGTTCCGGACGCTGTGCCAACCCCCTCTCTGCTGTTGATGTGGGTGCTGCCGGCGTTGGCCGAGGCGCCGCTGGAGTTGCCCAGGGAGTTTTTCCCGCCGTGGTGGCTGTCGCTGCCGGGCGAGGGGGCCACGGCGGAGCAGGGCAGCGGGTCGGGCGGAGGCGAGTGCGTGGACGTGGCCGGCTGGCTGTACCTGGGCTCGGCGGGCGCCGCGCTGGCGCCGGCCGCGTAGCTGCGGGCGCGCTCCCCGGAGCCAAAGTGGCCGGAGCCCGAGCGGCCGACGCTGAGATCCATGCCATTGTAGCCGTAGCCGTACCTGCCGGAGTGCATGCTCGCCGAGTCCCTGAATTGCTCGCTCACGGAACTATGATCTCCATAATTATGCAACTGGTAGTCCGGGCCATTTGGATAGCGACCGCAAAATGAGTTTACAAAATAAGAGCTCATTTGTTTTTTGATATGTGTGCTTGATTTGTGGCTCGCGGTCGTTTGTGCGTCTATAGCACCCTTGCACAATTTATGATGAATTATGGAAATGACTGGGACATGTACTTGGTTCCCTCCTACGTAGGCACCCAAATATGGGGTACGACTTCGAATCACGTGCTTTTGTTGTCCAGTCGTAAATCCTGCCTGATGACCTCTAGAGGTAAACTCGTGCACTAATGGGGGAGTTGGGTGGAGGCAAGAGGGGTGGCGCGCGCGCCCCAGGCGCGTGCCCGCCGCCCGCCGCCGCCGTTCAGTCGGACTCGAGCGCCACCCGCTGGAGGCAGGGCGCATCGCCCCGCTTCCGACCCGGGGCTGCAAGGGCCGGGGTCGAATTGAGGTTACAGCCCATTATGGCAAAATTATTGCATTTCCCTCGCAGTTCCATTAGGATGTACCAATTGTGAGGCCGTCAGCTGCCGATCGCGTGCCCGGCGAGGATGCAGAGGACTGGGGGAAGATGGTGACTTGGATTTTATTTACAACAACTTTATTTCCCCGCTGTGTAGCCCCTCTTATTTTTGTGTCGAGGTTGGGGGTCGGTTCTGCCCGTGGTGCCGGCAGCTCTGAAATTTGAAAATACAGATATCACCTTCGGGGGAGGGGGGAGGCCATTTAGCCAATTGGAGAAATAAATCCTGCCCACAGCAGCAGCTACAATTATGGCTCTGTTTTTGCGAGCGCATGAGGGACAGTGTCCCTGCCGCTCTTAAATGACAGGCGTCTATTAAAGATAGCTTTTGTGTAGTGCTTCTCCGAGGCGAGGTCAAATTCCATACACTTTTATAACCAGTTTCGATTTTTCTTTCGTGTAAATATGGTTTTCACGTCGTTAGTTTGCTATTTGATTTGTTTTAAGTATCCAGCCTGGAGAATCTTCAGCACTGGGTCCTTTTCCTCTAGCCACCCGGGCCCCAAGTCGAAGGGTTCTCTGTGAACCCAGCGAGTGGGCCCAGGCTCCCCGCAGCCACAGAAGCTGCTTGGGGGCTGGGGATCCGTGGGCCGAGTTATTAGGGTCTTGCTTAAACCTCCAGGAGTAAAATGAGCGCGCTAAGGAAAGCATTTCGTGGCAGTAGTATCTCCGTAGTTATTTTCCTGGGATCTGAAAGACGAAAGTAAACCACGAATATAGCCGAAAGGCATGGGGGGATCTCCTCGCTGGAGGCCCAGCGTCGCAGGCGCCCCTGGCACGTTTGGAAACCAGAACTCTTGCCGCTCCCACGGCCCTGGGCCCCTCCTTAGGTCCTGAAAGCTGCTGTGGTGGCAGCACCGGCACGATCGGAGGCAAGGAGCGGGAATCCGAAGCCCGGGTCCTTCGGGAACCCAGTCGCTCCCGGGGCTGTAAAGTTCCACCCGCGCCCAGGTTGACTGGGCTCGGCTGAGGCTGAGGCTGAGGCTGAGGCTGCTTCTCTTCCACGGACGGTTGCGCGCAGGGCTGAAAGACTAGGCTCTCTCAGGGCCCCCTTTGTTCCTCGCGCTTCTTCCTGTCTGGGGGCTGCCTGGAAGGCCACCGCAGTGATGGGGCCCCAGCCTTTAGGCCCTCTGTTTGCAGTGGCCCGAGTCGATTTGGTGGTGCCCTCCGGGACTTGATGGCAAGGAATCGAGGCCAAAACGCCCAGACATCAAAAGGGGCTCGGTCCCGGGGTTCTTTCCTCTCCAGAAACCCCGCGTCCCGAGCTCAGGGGCGTGCACAGGCGCTAGTACAAGAGCCAGAGACGAATTTGGGGCGCGCCCTGGGATCCGGAGCGGGCTTGAGCAGCCTTGGAGAGCGGGGCTGTGGGTGCATTGCGACTCGCTCCACCGCTGGGATTGGCTGTGTGTGTGGTTTTTTTCTTTCTTTCTTCTTTTCTTTTTTTCTTTCTTCTTCTATTATTATTATTTTTTTGATAAGAAATAAATGCTCAGGCGTTTGCAAAGCCCTGGGCTCCCCTGAAGCTGCGGAGACCCCCCCGGATGGGAGCAGGCGGGGAGAAAAGTTGGGGAGCAGGCAAAGGCAAGGGGGCAAAGCCAAGGGAGGTTGCGGCGCTGGCCTGGTCCTTACCCAGGCGTCTACTCGCCCGCCTTTGCCTCAGCTTCCTCCCCACTGGGCTGTGTGGAATTGATGAGTTTATTTTCCTTTTTCCACTTCATGCGGCGGTTCTGGAACCAGATCTTGATCTGGCGCTCGGTGAGGCAGAGCGCATTGGCGATCTCGATGCGGCGGCGCCGTGTCAGGTAGCGGTTGAAGTGAAATTCCTTCTCCAGCTCCAGCGTCTGGTAGCGCGTGTAGGTCTGGCGGCCTCGGCGCCCGTGACTCCCATACACAGCACCTGCGGGTAGAAATGGCCAGGCGCCGGTGAGCCAGGATCGGGCAGCCGAAGAAGTCAGCCCCGCACCCAGCGCTCTGGGCCTCTGGGCTGGAAACCACCCGCCTCCACTCCATCTTCTCCCACTACATCTTGGGCCGAAAGCCGGATGGATGGGAGAAGATTATTTCATACCAAGCGAGATATTTTCCACCTAAAACAACTTGGGGTGGGAAGTTACTGTTTTTGAAAAATCTGTTCTGTAAGAAACCATTACAAGCAAAAGAATATAATAAGCATTCTTAATTCGGGGTACCTAAGTCGTGTTTTTGTGGGGGTAGTGTGTGTGTGTGTATGCGAGTGGTCCGTGTGGAACACTGTGTGAGTAGGGTACACACTTCATATTCACACACAGATCTCTGTGAACATGTTACTGTGGCCAGCCATGTCGAGACTCAACACGCTTTTGGGAAAATCAAAATGGTCAGCCTTCTCAAATCTTTGTAAATTCCCCCCAATTGTGTGGCCCTTTGGAGAAACACAGAGCTCCCATGAAAAAAACAAGTGGATTTTAAAGCAAAACACCGTAAGTTTTTAAATCCGCGTTAGGCTGAGTCCTGCTCCAAGGAGTCCCTGTGGAGTTGTTTGAAACCAGGGGCGAAGAGATGGAACTATGGACCATCTGGGGTACCTGGAAATGTAGGGCTGTGATGGGCTGTCAGCTCTGGTGCCAAAGGGGCCCATGGGGGGGGGATCCCCCAAGCTAGGTGTATGAGACTCAGGCAGGGCCCCAGAAGGAGGCAGAAGTTGGCTGTAAGTGAGCACTTGAGTGGAAAGGGGAGGAGGGGTGGGAGGAAAGAGAAAAAAACATTGAGGCTGGGGATGTGGCCCTCCAAGGCTTTGGGGAGACCCTGGAAGAGGTCACATGAGGGCCTCTCTCTCTATGGGTTTCTGAAGGGCAGAAAGGAGAAGGGGTTGCGAGGTGAAGGGGAGTTATCAGTGGTGGGTGAGAAAGCCATCTCCGCTTGGGAACCTGAGCAGGGTGTTACCAGGGTACAGTGTGGCCAGGTGCTCCCTCCCATTTATCCTAGCCCTGTCTTCAGGTTGCCCCTGTCACAGGGTCTCACATAGTATGGCAGTGACCCCTACACACTCCCCTAAGGTGTCACCTTACATGGACACTAGTGGCCTGCCTTCACTCTTCCACAGCTTGATTGCCCCATTGGGAATGGGTTGGGTTTTTCAAAATCTCTTTTTAAAAAGCCAAATAAACTTTGTTCATTCTTTCCTTCTGTGTTTCTATTTCCTCTGTCGACTTTCTCTGTCTCCTCCTTCCTCCTTTCCCTGCCTCCTTCTCCCTCTCCCTCCACTCTCTTGGGGGGGGCTACAGGGAAATGCCTTACCCGCGCAGGAGTTCATCCGCTGCATCCAGGGGTAAACAGGGCTCGTGTACTTCCGGTCGGTGCCTTCGTCATGGAGGGCTTTGCCCGGCACACTGCTGCTGTCGGGTTTGTACTGCTGCTCGGGAGAAAAGTGCAGGTAGTCCCCGGGGCCCCTCTGCTTCCCACTGCCCGAGGGCGAGGCGCCACTGAGGTCCTTATCAGAATAGAAACACGAGGCCCCGTATTCGTAGGACGCCCGGTTGCAGGCCAGGACCGAGTTGGACTGTTGGTAGAAACAAGGTGAAGTGTACGTCTTGTCCGGGAGGCTCGACGCCCCGTACGAGGCCGGGAAGGGCCTCAGCGCGTCATAGCCGGCCGGGTAGAGGGGCAGCTGGCCCAAGAAGGAGTCCTGGCCGCTGGGCAGGCTCCCGGGGAAAGTGGGATTCACAAAATAGGAACTCATTTGCGCGCCCCACTGCAGGACTGTGATTTGTTGTGTATTAGTACATCTGGCTATAACTATTAGTAGTCATCGAACTGGTTTGTTTCTGGATGGCCGAACGCCAAAAGCGACAGCAGCAAATCGCACCAGCTGACGCGGCGGTGGCCAATGGGAGCGAGCGCCGGAGCCCGCTCCCCGGGGACCGCGGCGACCGAGGCAGCAAAGTTACAAACAGCCCCCAGCCCGCCCGCCCGCCGCCCGCCCGGCAGATTAATGGGCGCGCACAGCCGGCCCGCCCGGCTCCCTTTCCCGAACGCCGGCGGCGGGCACTGCCGGGGCAGGGGCGTTCGGATCAGGCCCGGGTAGGGGCATCCGTGCCGCCGCCAGGCCCGCCAGGCCCGTTCTTTCCTCCTCCCCTTTTTGCCTTGCTAGCTTTTGCTGGTTTTCACCTCCAAACAGGAAACCTGACAGCCCTGCGCCGGGGGCGTGGGGGGGGGGCGAAGGGTCGGTGACAAGAACGGCTAGACTCTGTGCGGCCTGCCCTCCCGGCAAGGCCCTGAGTTTGCCCCTCCCCCTGCACTCCCCTACCCTTGGGTGCGGGTTCCGGAGCCAGAGAAGGGCTCTGCGAAACCAGGCCTGAGCTTCCTTGTCCTTACTCCTGGCGCCTTAGGAATCGGTGCATCCCCCGCCCCCTCTCCTTCTCCACTCCCACCAGGAGCCTGGGCCTGCCAGCCAGTTAGGGCGGAAGGCTCACCTGAAGCTGACCAGAACGTGGCCAAGTGTCGTCTCTTCCCCCGCGGACCCCCTCCTCCTACAAACAACACATCTCCTTTGAGTCCCCAATCGCCCCCCATCAATGGCCAGCGACTGCCTGGCCTCAAAGCACCCCCACAAGCTGTGCGCCCCCATCCCGCCTTTGAACCCAGGGACCCAGAGGCCAGAAATCACTGGTTTCAACAAGAAAGGGACCTACAGAAGAGTAACCGTGAGACTGAGCACGGAAGCCAGCCGTGCGACCTGCTCCCCTCACCCAGCGAATCGCCCTCCGCCACCTGGACTGCTCAGAACCGAGAGACCCAGATGTGGGATCTCTGTTCTCATTCCAGAGGTGCAGGCGACCCCAGGGTCCCTGGCCCAGCCGGGCACAGAGGGCAGTCCTGCTGGGCCCGAGGCTGCAAGATAATTGATGTGCTTGGTTTCGGGGAGCCCCACGCCCCACAGTGTCCTGGGGTGTGTCCTCTTTTTTGCCTTTCCCCGGACTGGTCCAGGGCCTGCCTCCGGCAGTCACTCCAGAATGGGGATCAGTTGTCTCGCCGGCTCCAGGAAATCGTCTGAATTGCTTTTACCGCAGTCCCAGGCCTGGCCTTTCCCAGACTGGACATGAAAAGCCTGTCCTGAGCTCCTCTCTCTTGCCTGAGAGGTGTGCCTTCCAGACAGTTGACTTTTACAGCGCATGGATCAATCTCATTTTGTAAAATGTGATATCTTTCCAATGGCATTTTTATGACCGTATTTGTTGGGCTTGTAAAACCCCTTGAATTAGCTTTAAAATCCTCAATTCTGTGGAGGTTGAAGAAAGACTATTTATACGATTTGGTTGAATATCTGGAGGGTGTTTATAAGATCTGTAAAACTATGGCAAACACAGAGAATGGAGTTCAGGACTTTGGGGGTGGCAATGCCCCCCTAGGAAGCTGGCAACAACTTTCTTAAATTCTTCCTTGCTTTTCGATTTTTCCCCCCTGTCCTCATTCCCCCAAAGAGAAAAAAAATGGGAAAGCACTGCGCTAAGGTCGACCTCCACAAAGCCTAGTGTGCACCCTTGAAAGCGGCTGTTGCCAATCTTCTGGGGGCTGTGCCTAGAAACCTTGTGGTTGCATCCCAATAAATCTAAGCCGGGAAAGTTTCTCCTTTGCATATATAATGAAGGACCTGGAGGAGAGGATAGAATTTAACATTTCCCTTGCATTTCTTCAGGGAAAGGATACGACAGATGAAAATGAAAACTCGAGTCAAAAATTAAAAAGGGAATTATTTTTTAAAGCTACATTCCAAGAATATCATGTTTGAGTTATTGTTTCTTAAACAAGACCATCAGGTGACAGTGACTTCAAGCAAGTTATAACGTAAGATGAAAAACATTTGGAGATATTGACAAATGTTTACATTTATAATTTCTGCTTCATTCCTCCACGTACCATAGTGTTGGGGCTGGTGGCAGTTTACTACTGTTATTATTATTATTTGTTATGTTTTGACCTGGATTCTCGATCTAATAATGATCCCAGCCAACAAGAGAATTTGATTTCTCAGCTAACAGCCAAAAAACCATTATATTTCTAGCTTCTATAGGCACTAAGATGGAAAAAATTGATTAAATTGAAATCTCTATGTTAGCCAAGGCTGGTACCTATCATGTTGGCAGCCGCCCAAATTTATTTCTCCAACCAGCATTATATATATATATATAGAGAGAGAGAGAGAGAGAGAGAGAGAGAGAGAGAGAGAGGGAGAGAGAGAGAGAGAGAGAGGGAGAGAGACACTCAGGCAAGAACAGGAACCCCAGACTTTGGGGAGAGCCTTTTCTGGGATGGTGAGAATGGCCACCAGAGCTCCCTCTTCTTCGTTAAAGCCACGCCGAAAGTCCACTTACCTTTCAGCTGCTCTTCAAGGGGGATGGGATGGCGAGCAGGGCCCCACAATCCGCCTTTTCCCTGGGCTGTCCACTGAGCTCCTCGACTTTCGCCAGGCTGGAGGGTGGCCTGCCGATGTGGGGGGACCTTGAAGGCCATCTCAGCCGCCCGGATCTCTAGACCAGGCCAGAACCCACAGCACACAGGTGCGGCCTCGGCCTGTCACGGGCCCTCGCCTGGAACCAAAGCCCACCTTCCTTGCCATAGCCAATCCTCCTCAGAGCCAGCCAGGCCTGCAGGCCTCAGGACTACGAGTGGTCTCTCTGATTTCAAAATCCCAAAGCGGCGCGTTCCTCGAACCAGCGTGCGCCCCCAGGGCGCTTTGGGGCACGCAGTTTGGATAGAAGCAACCATGACGTGCCAGGCGGCCTGTGCAACCAGTCTCCATGGTGCTGGGGGGAAAGGGGGACCCGAGTCTAGTCAGGCTTCCAGCTCCTGTCAGGTGGCCAAGGCGGGGGAGGTTCCGGGCCAGTCAGGCCCTGGGAGACCGCCCCTCAGGTCCTCCCTCGCCCCCCTCTCCTCGGCCTGCTCGGGGATCTCTGAGGGGCCCGCGCAGCAGTCGCGCCTGGCTGCACGACGCGGGGCTGCGACTGGCGTCGGTCCCGGCGACGGCCACAGCGTGGCAGCAGCGAGCGCCCGGCGCGGTCGCAATAAATAATCTGCCCGGCGGCAGCCGCAGTCAGGCCGCCCGCGGCCCTTCGATGCAAATGCGCCGCTTTATCCGCCCAGAGCGCACCCACAGCGCCCGCCGGCGTCCCGAACCTCCGCAGCCCCTTCTTAATTATCTAATTCACACCAAGGTATTGTCTTAAGGTGGGAAAACAACAACAACCAAAACCAAACAAACAAACAAACAAAAAGAACTCGAGCCCAGAACCTCAGGGTGGTTTCTGGTCGCTGTCCCAGGAAGCTACCGAGGCAGATCTTGCCGGGGGATACCCGGCACAAACCGCGGTCTGTGCCACCGCGCGACAGAAAGCCAACGTTCGCGGGCCCCGCCGCCCAGGCGGCTCCGCAGTCCTCTTGCGGCTCCCGGAAGGTGGGCGCACGGTCGCCACCCTGCTGCGCCAAGGTGGGTGGGGGGGTTCCCCCTATCGCCAGACTTGGTTTGCGTCCTTCAACCTTAGCTGCGGGCCCCTGCCCCTCGCAATAACACCACTCCATCCTCTGCACCGAAACTTCCCGCCAAGCAACACCCAGCCAATTAACCCCCTCCTCTCCTCCAACACAGAATTCCACCCGCGCACCTCTTCCCTCTCCCCCGCGCTTCTGACACCGCTCTCATCGGAAAACCGCGTAGAGGGAAGCAGGCGATCAGCAGAAGACTCGGGCTGCATTAGTAAGTTTTTTGTCCCCCCCACCCCCACCCCTTCGTTCTACCTTCCTCTCTGGAAACCAGTTCCCACGGAATAGAAGGTGCTATATTGATGCTATAAAATGCCTGTCGATGAATTAATTACTTCACTTTGCCCTCACCTCTTCCCACCTTCCCAGCTCGGGAAGTGTCCCCAATTCAGTCGAACCAATTGGGTCATGAATGAAAAAAAAGAAAACAAATCCAAACCCGAGAGGCTGGCGGGAACGCAGAGTGCAGGGGCACTTCCTTTGGGGCTCAGGCAGGTCGCTGGAGAAGGGGAGAGAGACCTCAGGGCTCCTGTCCCGTGCCAGGGCGCTGTGCCACAGGAAGGCGGGTATTCTATGCCACGGTGAGGGAGGGAGGGAGGGAGTGTGTGTGTGTGTGTGTGTGTGTGTGTGTGTGTGTGTGTGTGTGTGTGTGTTGGCTGTAGTGTGTGGTGGGGGGGCGAATGTGAACGGGTGAGTGTGGGTGACGGGGAGTATGCCCCTCTTCAAAGCCTCCCTGGGTACCCTCTCCCACCGCCGCCGGCGCCGGCTGCCATCTCACCACCTTTGCTCCTGTCTCCCCACATGTCTCACCTTCAGATGGCGGCTCCCAAAAGCTCCTGCCCCTCTGACAGCTGTCGCTTGGGCAGCCCGAAGAGACGAATCGTCCTCCTTCCTGGTGCCAGAGGACGCAGGAAATTAGCCAGGTTGCGAGTTGCAAAGCGGCCGCCGCGGCGCCGGGAACTGGGCGCGCCCCACCTCCAGCGGGAGCGGCTGGGCCGGGCCGGCCCGGGGCCTCTTCTCGCTCGTCATCGCCGGACAAAGCGCAGCGGAGCCGGGCTGGAAGGCAGAGCTCCGAAGCAGGCAGGACCGAGCGGAGCAAAAGAATGCGGCTCTATTCTCGCAAGGGAAATTATAAAAAAGTTCATGTTCACGGTTTCCATCCACATGACCGACAGCGGCCAATGGAAGGGCCGAACAACTCATAAAGTTGTATTGCAAAGTTGTAAATTTTCATAAACAACAACGGATTTATGACCCTTTCCCCATCTCTAAGAGGAGGCAGCTCTTACACGGGCGCCATCTTACCACGGAGGCCGCCCCGACTTGGGGCCGCAGGTTTTACAGACCCAGTTGGACCGGGTTTTATTAAAAGAGCAATAAGAATAGGGCCCAGCCCAGGCAGGAGACTGGAGTCGAGGTCCTCGCCCGCAGAGCTCACGCTGTTCTGCGCTGTCCCCACCGCCCCTGGCCCCTTCCCCAGCCCCTCAGCCTTCCCCGCACCCAGACGCCCCTGCCGAGGCTTGCAGCCCTGGTCTGAGGCCCCTGCCCCTTCTCATACCCCTCAGCTGCTTTGCTGGGCCCTGGGGCGCCCTCGCTTAGCCTGAATGCGGGGTGGAGGGGCTGCGTCAGAGTCCCCGAAAAGCACCTCCTAGCCTGACGCCAGGTTCAGGGCTCATGGAGAATTTGGGATCAGTCGCAAGAGTGATACCCCTTTGCAAGCCCACCCCACGACCTTAGAGGAAAGAGCGGATTTTGGATTCGATCATGGAATTTATGCAGGGTTTTAGGGAGGTTCATAGAATATAATGTATCCATCGAAGATTCCGTTTTCAAGGGATTTGGAAGATATTTGTCCGCACAACACAAAGACCAGACAAAAAATTCCACACAGGGAAACACACATATACAATTATGGACACACAGAAACGCATAAACTCAATTATGGACACAGAAATACGTGCAATTATTTACACACAGAAACACTGTCGCTCAATTACGGACACAGGAATACGTACAATTATGGACGCGAGTAAAAATACACACAGACGTACACAGAAATATGCAAACAAAAAGGTACACACATACCTATACAAATCCACGCATAAAAAATCCACACAAGAAGAGACTCAACACGCACATACACGCAATTCATAGACACCCAACACTTGGACCGTATTTGTCCTTCCACTTTTGCTTCCCTGAAGCCTTTTCGGGTACTCGCACAGAGCCGGGGCTTGCTCTCCAGCCATGCTCACTTTCTACCCCAGCCCCCACTCCCATAAAGCAGTCCACGTTTCTTTGTCACCAAGCATCTTTATTTTTCTGTTACATAAAACACGGTTAGCTGGGCAAGACTGGAAGCATACCTTCCTTTTCCTGGAACCCCAGGAGCTGAGAGGGACGCAGGACAACATAGGAGATGAAGGGCACTGAGGAGGGCATTGCTCTCCCCACCTGCTATAGAGTTAGCTCAAGACAACACACCATGCTACAAAGTCACCCCATTAACACATTCTTCCCAAGTCAAGACATTGCCTTACAAATAAGCTCCAAGACTATATAAATGACAAAAAAAATCTTATTCAAATATACAATATTTGCTATTGTAGGAAAAGTCAGGGTGTACATATTCAACATGGCTGGGCAGTAGGACACAGGGGCCAGGAAGGGGCAGGGAGGCTGGGAGCATCTCTGCAGGCCTACTAAGCAGAAGCTAACGCAGAGATCTGCAGCTAGCTTGGGAATGCTCCCCTCCAGAAGTGGGGGATGATGGGCCTGAACTTGGGGTACCCAGGCCAGAGAAGGAGGGATTCTAGGTTGCAGCACTTAGAATGCTTTGGAATAAATATATTATTCTTCAATTTAAATAGAAGCCAATGCCCTGGTCCCCAGACCCTAGCACCTTCTCAGTGCAGCCTCAGGGACCCCAAAGGCTGCCAGCCGCAAGCAGAAGGGGCCTGGCCTGGGAGGGGCCGGCACTAGGTAGCAGGTGAGCCAGTAAGCACAAAATAGGTAGTTTGGGACAAGTAGGTAGTACTGAGAGTCAGGTCCTTAACAGTATGGGGGAGGTGCTAGGTGTCTGCCAGTGTTGGGACACGTCTGGGCTTCCTGGGAGTGGAGGCCCGCTGGGGCTGGGCCCATAGGTAGTTTGGGAGTGCCTCTCTCCGAGGCCTGTGCTAGGTAGTATTTTAGCCTTGCCAGCACAGAGCCAGCCGGCCTTGGGTTGGGGGGGGTGTCTGTTGGGGGTCCTCGGAGGCAGAGGGGATCCCCAAGGGGACCCAGTCTAGGTGGCTGCTCAGTCCAGAAAAGTTGGGAGCTGAAGTGGGTAATGGGGTACAGGTTGGGGACTGGGGGGGGGTTTGTTTGGGTTTTTTTTGTTTGTTTTTTACATTTTATTTTTATTTTTCCCACTTTTGTAAATAAAATCGGTGAGTCTCTAAAGACGCTTTCCCGAGTGTCTGGTGCAGCCAAGGGCCCTGGCTAGGCCCCTCATTCCTCTTCCTCGTCGTCGTCGTCTTCATCGTCGTCCTCCTCATCGGCCTTGTCGGCGGTGGCGGCAGTGGCGGCAGCAGCCGGCACGGCGCCCTCGGGGGCCGCTGCGGCCGCTGGACCCTCGTCCTTATGCTCTTTCTTCCATTTCATGCGGCGGTTCTGGAACCAGATCTTGATCTGGCGCTCGGTGAGGCAGAGCGCATGGGCGATCTCGATGCGGCGGCGCCGTGTCAGGTAGCGGTTGAAGTGGAACTCCTTCTCCAGCTCCAGCGTCTGGTAGCGAGTGTAGGTCTGGCGGCCCCGCTTCCTGTCGGGCCCTGCAAGCAGACATGTGGACACATGGACACAGGGACAGACAAGCCAACAAGGACACGACAGGACAGTGCATTAGCTAGGCCGCTGTCCCAGAGCTCGCACCTTCATCCCGGCCCTGACCCGGGATCGAGTCCCCCTCCGCCCCGCGCCCCGGAGCTGAGCTGGGGGAGGAGCGGGAGTGGTCGGGCAAGACCCCAACTGCGGTGCCAGACGCGCAGGCAGCTCCGTGAGGGGGGAAGGCGCAGAATCCCAACTTTACAACCGCCCTTTCCAGCCGGATAGGCTTTCACAATGTCCTGCTCCCTCTGACAAAGAGAAATTGTAAATATAGAGTGTGGGCAAGTGGGAGACGCTGCGCTTTTGCCATTCAAAGACGAGCCGGGCCGCTTCTCCGCCTGGATAGGCAAGTGGGAGACCCTCGGGCGGCCTGCACTCCAGGGGCGCCTTCTCTCCCCAGCAGCCCGTGCCCCCATCCCCGGACCTTCCTAGGGCACTCCGACCCTGCGTCCCAGCTCCTGACCCCCCCCACACACACACCTACCCCAGCCTTTAAAAGGCCCCTGGCACAGGGGCTTGTGAGGGGCCCTGAAGGGTTAGGCTCTCCTTGCTTTTGAGAAAGAAAAGCCAGGCTGAAATGAAAAGGAGGAGGGAGGGAGAGAAAAGAAAGGGAGGGAGAAGGAGAGGGGGAATAGCGAACAAACAAACTTAATGTTAAAATTCCAAGGCAAACGGAGTTAAATAAATTTACGAGGATTGAACCCATTAATTGGGCCATAAAAAGTTTTATGAGCCTCATTTACATACAATGCTATGGGCTCTCCACGCTATGGCGCCTCGGCTCTAATTAAAACCAGAAAGGCAGCGCCGCCAGGAGTCACGGGGCCGCCGGCTCGCAGCCGCCTGGCTCCCAGCTCCGCGCTCCCCAGCCCGGCTCTCCCCGCTCCCACTCGGCCCGCTCACCCGGCCCGCCTAGCGGTTGCGCCTACCTGAAGACCGCATCCAGGGGTAGATGCGGAAATTGGCCTCGGCCGGACCGTGCAGCGCGCCTTCGTCCGCCTTGTCGCAGGCGCCTTTGGCGAGGTCACTGCAGAGCCCGGGGATGTTTTGGTCGTAGGAGGCGCAGGGCAGGTTGCCGTAGGCGTCGGCGCCTAGGCCGTAGCCGGACGCGAAGGGGCTCTGATAGAGGGGGCTGTTGACATTGTACAAGCCTGGTACGGTCGAAGCGAAGGCACCGGCGCCCGCCCCGTAGCCGCTTCTCTGCGAGTTGGGCGCAAAGGAGCAAGAAGTCGGCTCGGCATTTTGGAACAGAGAAGCCCCCGCCGTATATTTGCTAAAAAGCGCGTTCACATAATACGAAGAACTCATAATTTTGACCTGTGATTTGTTGTCCGGCAGCTTTCAGTGTCGGTTTTACGAGGTAGCGTGATATATGATAACATTACACCCCCAGATTTACACCAAACCCCATTTTCTTTTGGACGGAGCTCGCCGCAGCACGTGACCGCCCACATGACCGCCTCCGCCAATCTCAGCAGCCCTCACAGGTGGTCTCTCTCCGCGGGGCCCGCGGCAGCCTAGAATGGAAGGGGAAGAGGCTCAAATATGTGGCCAACGAATCTGCCCGCGCCCGATCAGCCTGGCGTCCTGAGGGAAAAGCACCCCAGGTTCCGTGGGGGCGCTTAGTCCGCTGCCAACCTGGACGCCTAGCTTGCCGAGGCCACCCGGGGCCGGCCGGGCGCAGCCCGTCCTTGCTTATTACTGAACCCTGAACTAAGCCTGCGGGTCATTCCTGCTCCTCTTCTGCCCACTGACCCAGCGCAGCGAGGAGCTGTACACCCCCACGCACCCGCGCGCCCTATGGTGGCCGGGTGGGCAAGTCTCAGCTCTGGGTAAATCGACTCATTGCCGCGTCTCCTCCCTCCTAAGTCCAGCGGGCGATAGGCCGACTTAGACTCCCATCCAGGAGGGAGCCGGCGCAGCTTCGCTTCCATCTGCAGCGAGAACGCCACAGCAAACTGGAACCATGTGGTTCGAATAAAGTCAAGGTCTCCTGGCTTCCTTTCCTTAATCAGCCGCGCACTGTTTATCTGCCCTAAAGGAAGCAGTGAAATATTTATCTATTAATGAGCCTCATTTGCCAACAGATTTATTAACGTGGGATTCCCCTTCCTCCTGGACACCGCTGGTCCCTCAGGCTCTGTGCTTTCGCTCCTGAGCACCTGACTGGCCTTGGGCAGCCTGAGAAATGGCTGGACACTCTTGTCCTTTCCACAACCCTTGATTTTCCCTGGCTGAAGGGGAACCAAGTAGTCTCTTTTCCCCAGCTTGGAGGAACGTCAGGCCCTGCACCTTTCCAGGTACCCCTGGCCCCCCTGAGGTTTATCGTAGCTTTCACTTGGGCCACCTCTGGGCCTCTGCAGCTCTTCATGGGCCTGAGTGCAGGGGAGCAAACTGGCTTTAGAGCCAGTTTGGAGAGGAGAGAGGGGGGCCAAGGCTCCTGGGAACTGCAGTGCACTATAGATTTTCATTCCGTTTGGAGACCCCAAGGACAAACAGGGAGACCCCTCTCAAAAGGGCACCCAACTCTGGCTGCTTCACCTTTCCAAAGAAGAGCTCGCAGAGAGTGGGGTGCATGGTAGTCTCACTGCCTCCCATCCAGGACCCCAACTGGTGGAGCTTACCTTCCTAAGACTCCAAACCCTGCGCAGGGTTGGAACAGCCAAAGACCCTGCCGCCCACCACTCCCTGGAGGGTGGTGGGGCAAAGCCTTCCCCTAAACGCCTCATAAACTGCCCAGGCCACTCTAGAAAGCCCGGCTGTCAGGTCAGTACGACTTTTACTGCTCAGCTCGATTGCACACCATAAACCCGACCTCACAATGGAATTGCCCCGGAAATTCTCCTCTAAATTATAGAGTTTGGTTCCTCCTGTACAAAGCGCTTCCCATCACTTTCAGAGGGTCCAGGCCGCCCTGTTCACGGCACCCTTTCAGGGGGTCCTAGGAACACAAAAGGCGGCAGCAGGGATCAGACCCGGATGCAACGGAGCCCCAGCGCTGGCTTAGTGGACAGCCCTAGGGTGTGGATGGAGAAGCGGGGGCTGTCGGGGCAGGTGGGGCCAGGGTGGTATCCCCTGGAGGTACAGGGGCCATGGGGGGGGGCAATATCCGGGATGCCCTTTATGGCGGATCAGGATGCTAACGGGTCTTGGCTGGGGAATGGAGGGCGGTAAGACGGGAAGAGAATAAAAAAACAAATATACTAAATAGCACCGCTTTCTGGCAGGAAATAATAACCTAAGAAAGTTAAAGGAAGACGAAACAAACAAGAAGAGGGCTAGGAGATCAAAGAGGAGGCATTAGACAGCTTTAGACCAATAAATTGTTCCTCGAATGACAGGGAGCAAGATGCAAAGAGAAAGACCCCGGCCGGCCGTTGCCGCCGTCTGTCTAGACTTGGGTGGCTGGAGCAACCGACAGCGATGGCGTTTAAAGTAGAACCTGCCCTGAGTGATGCGACATGACAGACCGAGCGGGGAGCGATTTGGGGGAGCGCCGGCAGGAACGCAGTCTCGTCCAAGAGCGCTGAGAGCCCGCGCCACAGGCTCATCTCTGCCCTGTTTTGTCTCGCTCAGGTCGGAGCGGTCCCGGCAGGACGCGCTGACCCTCCACCTGGGCCGAGGAGGGTCCAGATACTGCCCGCAAGGCCTCGGCCTCTCTGGGCCCAAGTCAGCCAACTGGGCCGAGTCCTACGGGCGACGAAACCTCCCTTTCGTTTCTGGGTTTCTCTCTCCCCGCATGCCTTCTGTGGCAGGGTTTTAAAACGAAAAGGCCAAAGCCAGGCTTTCAATAAGGCCTCTTTAGCCGCGTGTTCTTGAGCCATTGCTTTCCTACTTATTTGGCTGAAAAGACACAAATGCACTAGGGTTATATGTGATAATATTCACAGAAACAGTCGTTGACGCTTGGCCTAGAGCAGGCACGTGTAGGCGGGGTTCTCATCTGCTTGGCTGTCTTTAGATAAAGACATTGTCCACTCCTCTCCTCGGGGCTGCGTTCCTACCTGCCAAGCAGAAATGTGTTTACCCTGCTTCTTAGTACCAACTAGTCCTCAACATTTAAATCCAGCTAAGAATGTAGACCCAGCTCTCGCGCAGCGGATAGAGCCTGCTGGGAGTCGGGTAGCTGGCGATTTGCTTCTCTAAGCGTTTCCACCCGCGCCCCTCGCGCGACCTGCGCGTCGGTCCTCCATCCAGTGAACAGTCCCCCGGTCGCGGCGCGGGACAAATCCATCCCCGACGAGTGCAAAGGAGCTCCGGCTGGCGCGGGATCTTGTCTGGGAGGAGTACAGGGAAGCCGGTCCTAGGCTGCGGTGCAGGGAGAGCCGCCTCCAGCCGCTGGCGTGCCAAGGGCAAGAGAGGCCCCGTCTGGCTGTCCATGAGGCCTCTGAAATCCCCGCCGGCCTGCACCTACCTGGGGCCTCCGCGACCTGGGGAGAGAAGCGGTGGCCACCAAACTGCTCCGTTGCCATTTATTTGTAGTTACACAAACCGAGCTTTCTATCTGCCGCTTGGATACATGGCCACGGACGGCCCTCAAGAAGCCGTAAAACCCTTCTTACAATCAGATGCTGTAAAATACTGTGTATTTTGTAAGGAAATATAATGAATGCGTGTGTCTGTAATACCAATGTGTGTGTGTAAACAGAAAAAGGCAAGAGAGGGAGGGGAAAGGAGAGGGAGAGGGAGAGAAGAAGAAACACTCGGGAGAGATGTCAGCCTAAATCCAGTCCCCAGTTTTATAGCGCGTACAGCGAGGAGATGCAGGTTGTAAACATTTTGTGGGCTTGGCAGAGACTATTACAACCCAAATAAATGCACCGCGTGGAGTGTTCACAGGGCTCCGGGGTGCTTCGAAGGGTTCTCTGTTTGCTTTTGCGTTTTCCCTCTGAAACCATTCTGCACCTGAGGCTGATCCTCACATCCTTACTCGAGGCAAGTTCCCCGCCCAGGGTCGGGCATAACCTGGATTAGGGTCCCTTCCCGCCTTCTGGCTTCCTGAGCTGGGGACGCAGAGCAACCTCAGGACCTCCACTGCCGAGGAAATTCCGCGGCAAGAGAGAAAGCAGGGGCGGCTTTCAAGACGTGACCTGCTACCCTGGAGCTAGGATGTTATACTTATTTTACATATCACATTTATTTTAGAATAACCAAAGCAGTTCCTGGTCTGTCCCCATCCCCAGCAACTCAACCGCCAGACTAGACAGTCACCAAGAATGCCTTTACGCCCAATTTTCAGCCGCCTAATTTTATTGTCATGTATTTAAGGCGGTCGAGTCCTGGGGTTCTGGTTCGCTTGCGGGTGCTGGCTCGTCGGGCCCTGTTCCGGGGTGCAGCCTTTTGGGGTCTCCCAGGCCCCCGAAGGACCTTTAGCCACGGTGTGCACCCTCTGCACACCCTCTGGGGGATCACCAGGTCCCGGGGCTGTAGGCCTTAGTCCTTGTGTGTCTGTCCGCCGGTCAGCCGGGTTCTCCAAGCGCCGCGCTGCCCCGAGGCTTGTCGGGGGCAAGGCACGGTGACAGTCCCTGCGCCTGGAACTGCAGTCCCGCAGCGCTAGGTCCCCGGGATGTGGGTGAAGGGGACCGGAGGGTGCAGGTCAGCCGAACCCCCTTCGCTTCCTTGTTTCCCAGCGAGGCTTGTATCCCGGCGTGAGCAGCACAGAAAATACACCGCTGTTCACTCAAATCTGGGGATCCCATTCCAGAAACGCTCGCGTCAAGTCGACATCTTAGGAACTTCCCAGGGTAGCGGTGGCTGGAGATGGCGGCACAGACGGCTCTTACGTGGAGCCATACTGCCATCTGCTGGCCGAACCTTGGCGCTGCAGCCCAGCAGCCCGGCCTGAACTTCGTCCGCAGCCACCGCGAGCCCAGCGCCCCACTCTCGAAGGCCGGCAAGGGCCCTGTCCACGGGGGGCCTGTGTGGAGCCCGGAATCTATGCTGCCGAGAGGGTAGTCCCCATAAAAGAGAGCTGTTTCCGCAGCCACATTATCGGCGGCAGACAGAGCAAACAAATGAAAGGGCTTTGGTGGAAAATCTTAATTGGGGCTGGACAGTTGTAAACTCATTAAGGGCCGAATTCCAGACAGTTTGCAGACCCGGCCTTTATAGCACACCCTTACTGCCCATTCTTTGAAGTTCCTTCTGTCTGCAACAACAGAGGGCGTCTCAACCTGGCGGCGGGGTGGGGGTGGGGGTGTGAATGGAGGCCTCCTCCTCTGCGCGCCCGAGTTCCCCTTTTACGCATCCGAACACGGATACCTTTGCAGAAGTCGCCGGGGGTAGGGGATGGGGGCAAGGGCGAGAAAAGAAAAGGGGACATGAGGCCGAACCCTCTAGCCACATCTTGAAGGCGCTCTGGCCTCCGAAGTTGTGGTCGTTCCGCCGCAGCCCTTTACACCCCATAAACGGTAACAGCCCTCATTTTCTTTTATGGCGCTTGGGGCTGGTCAGTTGCCTGGGCCCTGTCTCTGCCAGGACTTGGGCTCGGGGAGGTGCGTGCAGAGCAGGACCCAGAATCCCCCAGGCCAACCAGCCAAGACGTGGAGGTGAGGGCGCGCAGGTTTTCAGTCCCGAAAGCCCCCAAATGTCAGTCCGGGCAGCCACGCTGGGGCGCTCAGACTCCTGTTTCCCTCCTCGGATACGCCTTAGGAGACATGCCCTCAACTCTGTCCGCTGTCCCCCCCCACACACACACACACTATTGCAAGGGGAGGCCTAGTAGTCTCCTTGGACTCGGGTTTGGGAAATTTCTTGGGGCGCCAAGATGAAAGAGGGGCCTTTCATTGCTACTGGCTAGCGATACCCGACACTCTAGCCCAGCTCCTCAGAGGCCTCCCTGCTGTCCCACAAATGAACACAAAGCGGGGAGCCCAGCCTCGCTGCCCAGTGTTCCCCGGCCTTCTTCTGCTGCTCGGGCCGCCACGCAGCCGGCCTGGTGGGGAGCACTGAATCCCGCCTGCGGCTGGCTGCTGGAGGTTCCAGCTCCCCAAAGCCCGCCAGAGCAAAACCGAGGTCCTGTCCTCTTCCACACCCATCCGGCCTCCACCCAGAGATTACCCAGGCTCCCCTACCCAAGGAGAAGAAGGTGCAACGAGCTGACCCAGAAAAAAAAAATAGAAAAGAATCAATATACTTTATTTGGCAAAAAGTTAAATATCATCTCAACACAACAATTTGGTCAGTAGGCCTTGAGGTAACTATTGCAAAATATACAGTGTATGTTTAGCCCAATGGAAACCCCAGATTCATCAAGAATACAAATCTACAGTAGCCCAATGGCGGTTTCATAGTGTATAATTTATTATCAATAAAATTAACTCCATTACAATAAGCATTCATTCCCCCCCCCAGTTAAAATTAAACGTAAACCATAGGTAGTAACCTTCTGCACATATGTATAGCTCCGAACATCCTCACTGTTTGGTGCAAAAACAATATTCCAGCTGGTCTGATTGTTTTTTCTTTAATATGTGGTTTACATATACAATGGACAAGACAGGTCAGTAGAGCATGTATAACCTAAAATGCCCGATTCTCAAAAGTGAAGAAAACCATGAATCTACACATCCGGAGAACCCTTTCTTTAAAAAAAAAATATTTCACTGGGAAACCCTTACAGCTAATTTACAATCAAAAGTTAACAGCCTAGTTATACAGAAGACATATTCCACTACAGAGCTATACTCTATGCAACTGTTTTCCCCCTCATAAACAACCTGAGTTCAAATTGAATTCTAGCTTTCACAATCACAACGGGTGCTTCACCCAGCACAGAAGTTTGAGTCACAAAACATAATTACCACAATAAAACACAGTGTTCAAGTATCTGGGCAGATAGCTCTGCCCCACATAAAGAAAATTAAATTAACTACACAGACTAAAATCTATACAGCCCGCAGTCAACAGTTGTGCATTATAAAAAGGTAGTTTTTTTTGTTTGTTTGTTTTAAGTCAGGAACAGGTAGATTTTATAAAATATATACAAGCTAGCACACACAGCCATCAGCCCTAATGCCCCCTTTTCTTCTTCTTCATCTTCTTTTTTGTCTTACAGAAAATGGAAAGCTTACAATACCTCCTCCATCAAAGCGGCAGGCCAAGTAGCCCGCCTGAGAAGGGTTTGCCAGGGGGGATGAGGCCTGGGTTAGAGCCGCTTTGTGCGGGGTGCTGGAAGCTTGGGTTTCGGAATGGGGGTGGGAGAAGGGGACGGGCAGTCCTTTCTCTTTCTCTCTAGCTCCGTCTCTGTTTTCTAAATGAACTCCAGTGGCATCACTCGTCTTTTGCTCGATCTTTGTTGATTTTCTTCATTTTCATCCTGCGGTTCTGGAACCAGATCTTGACCTGCCTTTCGGTGAGGTTGAGCAGTCGGGCTACCTCGTACCTGCGGTCCCTGGTGAGGTACATGTTGAATAGAAACTCTTTCTCCAGTTCCAGCGTTTGGTGTTTAGTATAGGGGCAGCGCTTCTTCCGTGTGGAGCGCGCGTGGAGCCAGTTGGCAGCCGGGTTGCCTGTGGGGGAGAGAAAAGGGATTTAATAGGAGGAGAAGCACCCCCCGCCCCCGCTGGGGGCTAGGTAACCTCCTGGGGTCTTCCGCCAAAGTGCAGGACGCTGCTGAATTGGTTAGAGAAAGCGGCCGAGCCTCAGACACAATGGACCCCTGGCAGACAGACGCAGGGACGGTCACTTACAATTGCACGCAGTAAAACCTCGGCCCCCCCTCCCCTCGGAGGCCCTCCTTTCTCCCGTCCTCCCGTCTTTTCCTCTCCCCTCCCACTCTCCGCACATTGGGTGATGAGTGAAATTTGAAAACAGATCTTTTTGCCAGGCAGGGGGAAACCACACTGCCCTGTGTTTGTGTAGCAAGATTAATATTCCTTTCTCCCTCTCATTAACTCTCTCTGTGTGTCTTCCTCTCCCCACCTTTCCTTCTACTCTCCCCGCTCCTTATTTAACCTCCCTGGCAGGCCGTGGGAGTGGGGCAGGCCGGCACTGCGCTCCTAGGTTCCCCAAAGCCGTTGATCACTTCTCCACTTTATTTGAATAATCTGGCATGGGGACCCTCGTGGCCGGGTCGCCGGCAGCCTCATCTTGGGCAGGATTTACGCCGCCACTGGCTGAAGGCAAGAAGTGGAGGGAATCAGCTGTCTTCCCCAGCGTCCCAGCTGCAGTTGCTGCCGCTGCTCTCAGATATTTTAGCCGCACAAAAGACTCTCTGCCGCGCTGCTTTCGAAGAACGACCCAAAGTATCTCTATCCTGGTTCTGGGCAGCCAGGGAGATGGGTGGCTGGTCTTGGCTTGGCCCGCAGCGCCCGCCCCGCCCCCTCTCTCGGTAGTAGCCGCCTCCCCTCCCCCTGAGCCCCGCGGACCCGCTTGTCACAGTTCTGTGGACTTGAGGCCCCATCCGAGACGTCCCAAACAGCAACTTCTGGCTCCCGGCCCCTGCTTAGGAGGCTCCCAGCGTGCGCTCCAAGGCAGGATGGAGAAAAAGCTGGCGGGCCGGCAGATCCGGGTGGCCGGCGTGGAGGCAGCGGCCGGTCTGGAGGGAGGAGACACTTACTGGGATCGATGGGGGGCTTGTCTCCGCTGCTCTCATTCTCAGCATTGTTTTCGGGGAAGGCGCCTTCGCTGGGCTGTTTTTCTCTATCAACTGGAGGAGAACCACAAGCATAGTCAGTCAGGGACAAAGTGTGAGTGTCAAGCGTGGGACAGTCACCCCTTCTGGCCGACAGCGGTTCAGGTTTAATGCCGTAAGGCCGGCTGGAGGGCAAGCCCGCGAAGGAGAGCGCGCCGGGCGTGGGCTCCAGCCAGGAGCGCATGTACCTGCCGTCTGGCGCCGCCGCCGCCACGGGCGCCTGGGGGTGCACATAGGGGTGGTGGTGATGGTGGTGATACACCGCCGCGGGCACCGCGTTGGCGCTTGCCGCGTGCACCGGGTTCCACGAGGCGCCGAACACCGCCGCCTTGGACTGGAAACTGCATGGGCTGAAGTCGGGGTGCTCAGCTAGCGCCGCTGCCTGCCTGGGGGGCTGACCCAGGGCCCCCGGAGCGTAGCGGCCCGCCCCCAGCTCGTCCGCGGCGTCGGCGCCCAGCAGGAACGAGTCCACGTAGTAGTTGCCCAGGGCCCCGGTGGTGGCCATCGCAGTGTCCCGCGCCCGGCCGACCGGCCCGACCCGCGGAAATTATGAAACTGCAGATTTCATGTAACAACTTGGTGGCACCAGGGGGGGAAGTACAGTCACCTAATAAGTTGCCTGCGCTCGCGCCCCTATTGGCCGCTTGCGTCACGTGTCCGCCTGGCAGAACAATAACGCGTAAATCACTCCGCACGCTATTAATGGCCCGGTGTTTTGCAGTCATAATTTTTATAGCAAAAGCCATATGTTTTTATGCAAAGGGATCGCGGCGCTCCACGATCGGGTTTGTTTTAATTGTGGCCAACGAAGATTAAAAGATCAAATCTGGCCTTGCCTCTGGACTTGCTCCCCTCCCACCGCTACCACCAGACACACACTTCTTAAACGGACTATTTTATATCACAATTAATCACGCCATCAGCAAGGCGCAGGTCCCGCGTGTGAGTGCGGCCAGCGTAGCCCCTCACATAAAATTAGACAATAATTGAAGCTATAAAAAATCAGCCAAATCGCATTCTCGCTCTACTGTATTTAAATCTATATTTATGATATTTCATAAGGAGTTATTGTTTCAGAAGCCACACAGGCTGGTGGGAAGTTGGGAACGACCAACAGATTCGTTTACCTCGTCGTGGCTCCCAGCTGTAAAAATTTACGAGGATTTGGAAAGGTTAAATTAGACTGTTGTGTTTGGTTGGCGAGCTCCCTGTAAATAATCCCTGCAGTCCCAGGAGATGTGAGTTTACCCGAGGCCGGCAGCGAAAAGTCAAATTCAACGCAGTAGCCGTCCCAAACTGAGCCACCACCGTCCCTGCCCAAAGGACACGGCCTCGGAAATCTGCCCGACCGGATCGCAGGGTGCCCGGGGAGCTCCCAAATTCGCTACTGCGCCTCCAGTGAGCGCCCCACCGAGGAGCGGCCAGAGTGGGAGAGGCCAGCCATCCCTGAGCGATGGGTTTGGGAGCCTGATTGTGCTGCGCGTCCGGCCCCGACCGCGTACACGCACGCCCAGCGCTCCCTGCTCAGCGTCAGCGGGAATCGCGATCCCCCAGCGGACGCAGCAGGCGCCCCAGTCCTGTGCTCCGACCTCGAAGGCCCTAACGCTGAGCTCTGCAAGCCTCGTCGCACTCCCCAAACCCGACCTGCAAAAACAAAACAAAACAAACAAAAAAACAAGACAGCATCAATGGAAGGAGAATTCGGCCTAAAAGACCCGGCGGCTCCAGTAGCTGGGAGGCCCGCACCGGAGCAGCTGGCCTCGGGGCCCAGTCTGAGTTCTCCCTTCCTTCCTTCCCGCTGCCCCAGGCGGGCCTGCCTGGGTTATCCACACGGCCAGGCGGCTCAGCGGAGCTACAAGGCCCAACGTGAGGCGGCCGCTGTTCAAGTCCAGGGCCAGAAATTAAAATGGGGAGGGGCACGGGGCATTGACTTGACTCCCATCCTCAGCTTCACCAAATTGAAGAGGGTGTTTCTCACCTCTTAAGAGTCTTTCAGGGGTAAATTAAAAGGCCTCGGCCTCTGTTAATTGGAAGAAAAAACCCACCCCAAATCCAAACGGAAAGCAGCGACTCCTTAAAAAACCGGGTAATTAAATTCACGTGCGAACACTGTGCCTGCAAGAGTGTGTTTCTCATTAGCCCACTTCCCTGGCGACCAGGGCGGGCGGCCTCCGGCACTTCCATCTCCTTTCTGCCTCCATCCTCGCCAACAGTTCCAGTAACGCCCGCCTCCCCCCCCCCCAAAAAAAGCCCTTATACATCCCTATCCCGCACTGGGACCCTCAAATGCCAGGCTTTCCCTGAGAGCTAGGCTGAGAAGCCCCGTGGAGACCAACCGGGCGCCCCTTTCTCTGCCTGCGCCGGAAGAGGGAAGTGGCCGACACAATGAACTCCGACGTGGCCAGTCCAGGCCGCCTCAGCCCCCTCCCCCCTAATATTTTTCCTTTCCCAGTAAATTCCTCCGCGTTATCCCCACCCCCACCGCAGTCCAAGATGTCCTAAATATTGGGCAGTTCGCGGGGCCTCCGAGATTTTCATTAAGAAAAATTAGTTCGAGAGGAAACGTTTGCTCCTAATTGCAATTGTCTGCAAACGGGCTGGAAACGCCTGGCTGCCTGTTCCACTTCTTGTACCCAGAGAAGACACAAGTTATTAATAGTAATATTTTAAATAAAAAGACCATTCCTTTAAGTAGCCTTAGCCCCCAAAATAATTAGTAAACCTTGAGTGTTAACCAGTCCTTACTTGTGACTCGAAGGGAGAGGAATCACAAAACCAAAAGTTATCCCTCTTTAGCCCAGAGGCTATTCAGGCTTTTGTGTCTGCTTTTATTTTGGAAGTAAAAGGGTTTTCGTGTGCATAAAGAAATAATAAATGGGTGTGATTACAAACTGCCTCTTCTCTCCTGAGAGTTCTAAAATCTTGGCTTCCTAAAGAAATCCAATACTCAGGTCCTGAAAATGGCAGAGAAGAGTTGAGGGGAACGTGGTGTGCCTGCCTTTTAGATAACAAGACCAGGGGCTGAGCAATGAAAACAGTTCCTGGGCCCAAAGCCGAGCAGGGAAGGGAAGCACTGCTCCGTGGGAATGAGTCTGAAGGCCCGCATGTTTGTGTGTTGCGGGCAGGAAGGGGTGAAGATTGTTTTCAGTTCCCGGCAATAACGAGAATTGGTCCCACTGGCTTCCAACGGTGGACTACAACTTGGAACAAGGACTCAAGTTTGTATTCCAATGGTTCTGGAATTTAGAATTCCTTTCCCCTATTATTTAAAACAAGCTGGCGCTGCAAGTGTCCCCTTCTCGGGCAGTCGTCTGCACAAGAATGCCATATCTAACATTCTCTGAACCTGATAGAAGCTACTGGCAAGAAAGCAGCCAATCTTTGCCCTAGCGGGGCTCTGTTATCGCGGTTAAAGCCGGAGCTCAGACCAGCAGGACCCGGAGAGCCGACGCTTCCTGGAGAGTTCCCGGCGGAAGGGATCCCAGCCTTAGGTCCCTTGTGAGGGTGGCGAGGGCCTCCTTGCCTTCGGTGTGGGCACACAAAAACGCCGTGAATGCCCCTAATCTAATCTCCTAGGCTGCTGTTGCTGACCTGCGGAGTAGAAACGCAAGGCCGCCGCCATCCGGTCGTGATCGTAACCGAGGCCTTGTCTGCGCAGCGGCACACCAGGCCCAGATCCACAGACCTCTAGACGCCCCACACGAGCCTTCCCTTGGCAGATTCCGACCCCTACTTGAGCGCGCAGAAAAAAATAAGACCCCTCCCCCAGGCTCTCCCCAAGTCAGCCCTGGGTCCCTCAAGAAGGAAGAGTTGAGGAGGAGAGGAGGTGGAGATAGGTAACTGGACACAGAGAGACCGAAGACGAAACAAAAATGAAGAAAAGGGGAGGAAAGAAAGAAGGAGTGAAGAAAAGAAAGAAACAGAAAAACGAAGAAGGAAGGAGGGAAAGAAATAAGGAAGGAAGAAAAGAGTCAAAGGCGACTCGGGAGCAGAAAGCGCTTACAAGGAGAAGGGTAAGTGACAAGGCCAGGATCCCAGCTCCTGTCTGCCCTGTCCCTTCTAGCTGGGCCTGAGTCTCCACTGACAAAAGGATCTTTCCTTATCGGCCCTGCATTGGGGCCGATGGTGTCGTAGCCTTGCAGGAGAATAGCGGGGTCCCTGACCAGGCATAGGCCTGGAGCGGGGGAGGCACAGGATGGAAGCGTGCGCCCCTGACCTTGAATGGCCCGGGGCCCAGAATTCCTACCACGCCCCCGGCGTCCGCTCAGGAGCAGCTAACCTGATCTACCTGCTCGGGCCCGGTGGGAATGGGGGTGGGTGCGGCCAGCAGCCTGGCAAAGCGCTGAGGAGGCAGGGACGAGACTCCTGAGCGGGGGGAAAAGCCGAGGTTGCCACCGCAGGCGCCGCACGACCAGAGCCTGGATGCCCCGCCCGGCCCGGCCCCCGCGCGCACAGGTACCTGGAGACGATTTCAACTGAAGTAATGAAGGCAGTGTCGTGCTGTCGAGAGAAAGGTGGATCCCAACAACAGGAAACTACCTAAATCACCGACCAGTTCTGGTGCTGCCCGCGCGGGGTTGCCTCGCCCGCCGCCGCCGCCGCCACCGCCGCAGCCAAGGGAGAGCCCTGCGATCGCACCCGGCCCGGCCCCTCGCCAACCTGCGCCCGCTGCTGCTACTGCGTGTCCCGGGCTGCCGCTAAGGCATCTCGGAGGAAGAAGCCACCAGCCCCGGAAAGGTAAACCTGGGAGAGGGAGGGAAGGAAGGTAAAGGAGAGAGAGGAAAATGGAAGGAAAGGAGAAAGCGAGAAGAGGGAACAAGCAGTGTGCACGCTGGTTTCCCAAATCTTGCAGCCCAAGCGCGCCGGCGCTGAGCAGCGGCAGCCCTGGGTGACTCGAAAGCGCCAGGGACAGTCCTGAGCCTGGCTCCCTGTCTGGTCTCGGCCTCCCGCGCTCGCTTTCTCGCGCGCACCCTCCCCGCCAGGCAGCCAGCCGGGGCGCGCGCTCCCGCGCCCCCTCCCCCATGCCGCCTCCCCCCACCACCTCCCGCGAGCAGGAAACGCGTGGCCCCGCGGAGGGCGACCAGGTGGGGGAGGTTGTGCTGGGGGAGGGGGGGGGCTCAGGCAGCCCGGCCGCCGTCTACCTAACCGCTGCCGCGGACGCTGGTGACGCGCTGTGGGCCCGGCCTGCTCCCGAGATTCCTAGGCTGGGGTCATCTAGGACCAGGGGACCCACAAAATAACCAGCCTCTGCGAGCCTCCCTGGGGCTCCCGAAAGAAATCCTGTTTGGCTTCCTCTGTCTATGCAGCTCCCCTCTCAACTGAAACCAGCGGTCCAAGACAGCCACAATCCAGATATACTAGCAAGTCATAAAACTGAACAAAAGCCGACAAACCTTACGGCACCAGGGCTATAGGGCCCAGACAAATTACGACTGTCTAGGTAATATTTAAATAGATGCCTAAAGTAATTGCAGGGGGCGAGGGCTAGTCCTCCTGTTGTAAAAGTGGTTGACGGGATAAAGTGGAAGGTGAAGATAAGAAGTCAAAAAAAGAGGTAAAATTAAAAAGCTTCATTCCACAGCTTTTATTCTTCTATAAGAACATAAACATCGTCTTTTTTTCCACGCACAGCAGCATTACAATATTAATTTATTCTGATTTAAGATTAGAAGTAAATAGAGCTAGAACTAACATTTATAATAACGATAGAATGCATTTGCATAAAACAAGATTGGCAATTTTTCATAATAATAGACATTTATACAGATTTGCATTTATAGGTTTTTTTTCTTTTTCTGCACCTACAGGTTTGACCCTTTTATGCATGTAACTTCACAGTATAAAGGAAACCCAAACAATGTCTCCCTTTTCTAGTCTATTCCGCTTGCCCCAGCCCTCCTCGGCTTCCATGAATTTTGGAAAGAAAAAAGAAGAGAAAAAAGTGAGGAAAAAAACCCTCCACAAGATAGGGAGAATTGTGGTGTGCTTGTCGTGTGTTACCAGTGGTAACAATTATTTAATGACAAAAATTCCACTAAATCTGCAAGTATAAAAAAACTACATCAGATTACTTATCCACAGCCAGAGGATACAGAAATTCAGAGGTAAGGGAAATAATTTAGTCCCGCGATGCAAGACCTTACTCAAACTGGAAGAGAGGTTTCTTTGTCCTGGTCATTCTTTTTTTTCTTATATAGCTGGGATATCTTCCAGAGGAAGGAAATTCATCTTTCTGAC